CAATCCTTTACAATTTATTTTAAAATGGCAATGAGATTCCCCGATTACATTTTGTACTTTTAAAATGACCAATTAAAACTCGTTGTAATTTCAGTTTCTTTCTATAAAACGTTTACAAAAAGTCAAACTAATTTTAGACCGATCTTCGGCTGAAAAAAATCATGCATACACAATTAAAAAAAAGAAAACCACGATTTAACTGGTATGGGGTGAAATTATTATCCTACCTGGTGGTGTAGTCAAAGCAATCACAGATCACGTAATTGCCAATCGTTCATTTTCATCTCCTGTTAAATGTGTCCTTTTGGATATATTCTAAGCTTGAGACTATTGAGACTTGAAAACTTTGATTGAAGGTAAAATGTTTTCTTCTAGACATATATGTATGTCTTTTTAATTTTAGAAAAACAATTTCATATCTAAAATATTTAGCTTCGGTACCTAATATAGACGATTTACAATATATCATTTCATAACAAATATTTATATAATAAGTTTGCATTTTATCACATTCAAAATTAAATGTGAAAGTGTCGGTCATGGCGGTGACAAAAAGTAAAAGTACACTTATCGTTGTTAACAATTTTCATTAAAAAACTCAATTTGTCGTCAATATTTTATCAATATTTCTTATCTGAAATCATTAAACATGGGAATATTTGGTATTATAGTTAAACAGAGATCAATGTATTAAGTTGTTAGACAATTGGTATAGGACTTTTTTGTCTGTAACAAGTTCTTAAATTATAACTGAAATCTACAAAGTGTCCGTGTTCGTTGATAATATCTTTAACAAATCTAATTTCTTTATTATATACATGTAGTTTGGGGATGAAATTATATCAATCTCCGGATTAAAAATTGTGATTATAAAATAAAGGCTTGCTTAAAGTTGTTTTGGACTATACACAATTGGTCAATGATGGTCAAATAGGCTTTCAAGACATCAATCCAGAATGCATTTCTGATATCACTAATTAGCATTTTATAAAACAGTTTTCCAGTGTTAAAATCTCAATATTAAACAATATGATAATTGATTCCCGCCAATTGTTTTACTATACGAAAGAAAAGTCAAAATAATGACACTCGAGTGTTTGAAAGACTCGGAATAGCAAGTTTTCGCGTGAATGCTAGATGCTGTGCATAAGATAAATTGGACAGGTATATGTATATGCGCAGTAATCCGATATCAATAGGGCCAATTTGAACTTGTGTATGATGATTCAAATGATCTTACGTTTCTTACAAGTTGCATTGATAACGATGTCAGAGTAACTGGGTGATTTTGAAAAAAGGTTAAAGCTATGGTCATGCTCTCTATAGATCGACAGTCCGAAAACCAACAACAGAGGTTGCCCAGAGGTAGAACACTAACTTCAGAAGTAAAAGGTACGGACTGCGAGGCCTGGTAAAGGTCCTGTTGATTTACTTGCGTGACAAATGGTTCTTAAAAGCCCATTATACCCTAGAAATGTTTTCATTTTCTAAAAGCAGTATTTTATATATTTTATATTATATGGAAGTAAAATACTATTTTCTTTACATATTTCCTACTTTTATGACAAAAAAAGTTCACATTCACCTTAACTTCCTTCATGATAAGAAGCATTTAACATACCCTAAAACAAGTATTCGATTACCCGTAAACTCCCGTAAACCGTTTCTAAAAGCTTTAAGAATTAATCGTTTCAAAGGAATAATTTGCCTTTAAGCAATTAGATAATACATTTATGCAAAAGAAACAAAAACATTTACGTTTCACAAAACAGTTTTCAAGTTATAAAAACTAACCTCAAAATTAAATAATATGATTATAAGATGCCATTACATTCTTGTCCTACTTGAATTTTCTATGATCACACGTAGGATATTTTTGCCTGCTTTCTAAATGTGTCCTTTAAAATCTAGTTTGTGATATATTTGCTTTACATCGCATTAAAATGTTTTTTTTCATTTGTTCAGGGGTCCGCCAATTGTTTTTTCTATAGTACAGAAAGGTTTAAATAATGACACTCGAGTGTTTGTAAGCAAGTTTACTAAATATCCATTACGCGTTTATGCTAGGCGCTGTGCATATGATAAATTGGACAGGTAAATGCATATGCGCAGTAACGATATAAATAAGGCCAATTTGAATGATGATTCAAATGATCTTACGTTTCTGGCAAGATGCATTGATAACGACGTCAGTGTAACAGAACGGTTAAAGCTATGGTCATGCTCTCTATCGAACGACAGTCCAAAAACCAACGTCACGGCAGACATGCAGCGGTCCAGATGTAGAAGATCGAGGCTTGGTAAATATTCTTTTGATTTACTTACATATCAAATGGTTCTTAAAAGCCCATTGTACCCTAGGAATTATAGTTATTTTCAAAAAGCTTTTAATTTTTTGGTGTCCTGTTTTAATTTCAAAAAAAAAAATCATTAGGACATATATAGTTATTTTGTATTCTTTATATTTTATTTAATATGGAAGTAAAGCACTATTTTCTTTACATATTTTCCTACTTTTTTGACAAAAAGGTCTCATTCACATTAAATTTCTTCTTGATAAGAAGCATTTAACATATCCTAAAACCAGTATTCGATCGCCATGGGACTCCTATTAGCCGTTTCTAAAAGCTTTAAGAATTAATCGTTTAAAAGGTATAATTTGCCTTTAAGTAATTAGATAATACATGTATATGCAAAAGAAACAAAAACATTTACGTTTTGCAAACATAGAAAAATGTAAATGACTGATATTTGGAAGCAAATTATTCGGTGTTCAAACATTTGACTTTTCTTTTTACATACATAATATACAAATATTTATAACAGAAAAAAACGTTAAAGAAATAAAAACGTACTTACCCACCTATGTATTTATGTAAATTGACGCTAGACTTTCTGTGAACTAACTATATTTTCACAGCTGTTCTTAATCTTCCTAGATAAAATTTACGTTGAATTCTATACAATGATAAAGAATTTGAAACTCTAATAACCTTGCCATTTGTTTAATAAACTGATAAATCTGGGCGCAACACATTTTAACACAACATTACACCAATTAAGAATTCGAAATTAACTATAATCGCGTATAAGATGCAGAGTTTACGTGAAAATATAAGTCTTATCTTCCCAAACTAACAAAATACTGATAATTAGGTTATATCATATTTAATAAACAGACTGTTCACTGTTTCTTTTAAACATAAGGTCCGGACGGAGGGGTTTGCAATAAAGCACAGATTATTGCAAAATGTATTCAAATTTCATATGTCTGTGCTTTGCTAGGAACACAGCCTTTAAGAATATAGCAACAGTAATTCTTCGAAACTGTATAGTATAGTACCGATAGGTTAAAATGAATGAAGCTTAAAAGGGTAATGTTACTTTGTAATAGTCACAAACTTTAAAATAAGAAGGTTTATATAAAATTCTAACACTCACGTGATTTTGTCACTATAGACAAAGAAGGAAAGAAACTGGTGTTAAACTGCCAATAAACACCGGTTAGGGACTACTTGTATATGTGCTGTTATGTTTTCACCCTCGATTGTATAGTTTACAAAGCATTTTAAAGCAACAATAAAAAGCATTTTTATTTATATTTTCAGTTCGTATAATGTTTTCTTTTCATACAATACCGAAATAATATCTCACATACACTAACGCCACATATAAGATCTATATCAGTTAATAAAATATTTTGACGAAACGGCGCCAATCGTAAGCAGCGTCGTGACGTCATCCTAAGTAAACAACTTATTCATAAACAAGCTGACGTTATTTCATGCAGACAAGAATGATAAATGGGATACTGATGTAAAAACAATACGACGTAAGTTTTTAATGTTGAAAACTTAATAAAATAACGTTTTTTTTCTTATTATTTCTTTCGTATAATAATTTCTATACCTTCGCAACAGTAGGGTGCGAAAATCGAACAGCGTTATATACGAAAATCGGCACCGGAAGTTATTTCCGCTTGAAAAATAACATTAGTGATTTTCCTTATTTCATCGTGTTAGAATCGAAATAACATCGGCCTGAGAGGTGTATATCGTCTATTTAACACCGGTTTTGTCGTTTTGATGCGACAAAATTAACCACTCAGGCCTACGGCCTTCGTGGTCAATTCTTACGCATCAAAACTCCAAACCGGTGTTAAATAGCCGATATACACCTCTCAGGCCGATGTTATTTCTTAAACAAAATTATTTTTTCTTTTGATAATTGGCAAAACTCACAGGGCTGGAGCAACAAATAAATATATTACCCCTTCAAGATTGACCAAAGAATTATATGATCAATCCAAGATTTTAGTGGTTTTTTTTTCAAGTCACAAATACGTTGTTTAGGTCATGCCACAATTATTATACAGATAAAGTAGATCTCGTGATGATATATATACAAAGTCAATTTGTCCAGCAATTTGTTCCTTGATGATTAACTCTCTAACATAAACATTATAACATAACATGACTAGCTTTGAACGAAGAACAGAGGGAATACATCAGATAGTTTAGCAAATGAGTTTATAATGTTCAACATATTGTACTTATGTGTTACAATGGTCTTATGTCATACTAATTGTATAAACAATAAATCAAATAAGAGAAATGTTCTAGTATATCAACATCAATGATTATAATGTTAAACAAAAGGGATCAACTCAAAAACGAAATTGATGTCAAACGAGTCGCGCCTATTAATTCAAAATATTTAATTCTGTCTGTTGTTATTGTAACTGATGTTAATGCATAAATTCCGTGTATTGTATGAATCGAGTCGTGGGGTTTTGTTCCACTTCGGAATAGTTTTTGTGATATAAAAAAGATTTAAATACATTGCGATTTCTTACATGTGTGCTAAAACATAATGAATATAACATACATATACGGGCCTCATTTTCAAACACACATAATTTCCTTGAATAAATACAAGAGTTTCTCGAACAGGGTTTAATCCAGAAAGCTTCTCAGATTTTAAGTAACAATTTACCTAATGAAAATGAGGTTCTCACTGTTATTTTCATTTGTTATTGTCATTGGAATATATAGTTATAATTTTTCTGAGGCTAGAGAGCCTGTATGTTCTAAATTTGCATATGAAGAACAGCTTTTAGAGAAAATGATAAGAACGGAAATTAAGGTAGAAACAATGGTGAATGAAATTAAGAAAACTGAGGATAAAGTAATCAGTACATTAGGCTACATTAAACAAACAGTTGCTGAGTTTATGGACATGTTTGCAGACATTAGAGGAAACATAACGGACGAGATGTTAAAGAGAAATGACGAGATAGAAAGGAGAGAAGGTATGATAAAACAGTTATTTCACATTAAATTCACATTTCTTATACATAAATATTTATACCGGAACTGTACTAGTAAAGACCGAAATAAATGTGATATATTTGCATTTTCTTTATCTTTCATTGTTGTTCAATTGTTAGCATCAATATATTTTAATAATGTGTATTGATTAATTGAATATATTTAAAACAATGTAGATATAAGAACTTAAAAATATTTACAAAAATAAACCATTATTTTTGCAAATTAATTGACATTTAATATACCATTGTTAACAAACAATGACGTTTTCGCCTAAAATGTCGATCAACTGCTTTATGACATGACTTTTGTTGTCGAACTTTATAAACATTATTTTCTTTATTAACCTAAGCACGTATTGAATGAATTAAAATGGTAAACGATACATCTCCAAGAGAAATCGATTGTTTATAAAGCTATAATAGAGAAATGAATCGTTAAAGAAAATGTGATTACTGAATAACCTTGAACTTTGGTAATGATAAGTTAATAGAACTTTAATACCTTATTACAGAATCGTTCAAGAAACGTTTTGAAGAAACAAGAAACAACCTCACTAGTGACATTGACGCTAAAAAAGAGGAACTTAATCAAATTCAAGGTAGTGTATCTTACTTTGTTTCAACGTCATGACTATTTTTCAAATATGTGTAATATAAAATTATAATTCATTTATATTTATCTACAACTTATCATAACAAATTAAATTGTTGCTAATTTGATTTGATGCATTCATTTAATCAATCACTTTGTCAGTAATATATTCAACAAACTAGAATGATCTGATATGTTGCTCTATGTGTAAATGTGTAACTCTCGTTAGATGTTCAAATGATTTAATTCGCATATTCAATTTTCAAGTATTTCATAATTTAATCTCTAAAGATATTGTCCGAAGCGAATATTAGGCTTGTTTTTGTTATTTATGTACGCCCCGTTATTTAGATATCGCTGAAATTTATTTTACAGTTTAAATATATAAACAACTTAATTCAAATAAGTAATTAAAGCGTGAAATATTACTATCCTTGTGCACTATAAATTGATAATTTTCATTGACAATAAAATGTAAAACCGAAATAACATTTTTACCAAATAACAATGTTTTGCGATATAAAATACAAAAACTATTATTTCTACACGCAGGGAAACTTGAACAACCTCCGATCGCTTTCTATGCACATCACTTGAAAGACCTGTCTCTTGATACTACAAATCTATGACAACACATGAATGTATAGTGTAATTTCCATGTTTAGTTAGTGCCATTATTCAATAAAAGTGATCTAGCTTTAAATGATTTCTGCAATATTGAATTATTTTTCTCACGTTACTAGGTATGTACACAAAATTGCATTTATTTACATGTGCAAGATAGTAAATGTTTAATTGAAACCAATGAATTAATCGACTACATTTCTTAAGGTAGAATAGGCACTATAAGGATTGTAACATTGACAATATAAGACAGTAGTATCCTTTAAAGGTCACCTGTATGCAAAATTTTAAACACAATTTACCGTGTGTTTTTTTAGTTATGGACATTTTTCTGAACTAAAACTTTGCTATTAGAAGGGATCTTTTTCAGAAAAGAGGAAACTCTTAGTAATCAATGATATCATCATTATAAAAAATGTTTCCCTATTGCCCATTGTTAAAAAACAATAACATCCAGGTAACAAATTACACGAACAAAATGATTGTTTCTAAACAAAATGTTTGTAATATGTATAAAAATGTTACCCTTTTCCACCCACTTTAAACACTTATTTGAAAATATTCCTCAAAATCATCACAATGAGGGGCTGTTTTCAAAGTTTGCCTAAATTTTCTTAAAAGTATGCTCAATATGGCTGATTTTGGGAAATATAAAATACTTTTACCGTGTAGTTTTTATTCTATTAACCTTTGAAGATATTTGATGTCAAATTTGCTATTAAAATTGGCATTATTTAGCAAATGAATATCTATAATACTTATATAATTAAAATCAAACACTCTTTTCTTCAATAAGGGATCTGAGAGATAATAAATAATGTTTTAAAGAAAAGAAAAGAATGAAAACATGTTGTCCCTTCTGGGGTCTCAGTTTCAATACAGTTGACAGTGATTCTTTCCTAACTGAATACTCTTAAAAGTGTAGGTAGATACTTAGATAACAACATGTTATCTACATCTACGGTCTAGGTAATGCATTAGGATTATAATACCTCAATAGATTTTTATAAACATATAGTTATGTGTATTCATATTATTTACATATAGTTTTCATAAATCACCATTATTTATGCCATATATCTTTTTTTTCCTGTGGTTAAAATGCTGTTCTACGAAAAAAACAACTTTTTACCCTTAAAAATCATTTTTCTTTTATTGTCAATGATATGAACATCATCCAATCTCATATAAATTATATTTATTAATCATAACCAACATAAAATAAACTTGAAGGCCAGACTGCTTCTTACACACTGTTGAAATCTGAAAATACTATTTTTGTTTAAAACCAAAGACTTAAAATTGTGTATATGACATGGTCTTATGTTTTAACAAACAACACATGTCATTGTTTTCATGACGTGTATCACATGACATCCTAAACAAATCTTGTTTTATAGTCTCCAAGTATTTTTGATCATCTCAGTATGCATGCAAATACATAAACACGAGAAAAAGAATCCTAAATGAATATAAAACAATGCCTTTATAAATATTTGTTCGCTACCAAAATAACACGTATTTTTTTCTATTTCATTTAAACGTTTGTTAGAAAATTCCATATCAGTAAAATTAATAACATGGTGTATTGTACCTTTATCTGTAGAATACAAAGAATATCATATTTAGTTTACTATGCCTACGATCTTAATTCTACCACTACAGCATTGTGCACATTTCAAAATAAAATGCTATAGATTCAAACCTTTATTTAACATGCTACTCTCTTTTTTATTTCCTCAATGGCTTTTTGCAACCCTTTGATTCACAATAATTTAGATGTTGTGCACACAATAATATCTTAATTAATATGTATTGCATCCTCTTCCTATATACTTACAATAAACAAGATAATCCTCAATACATATATAAAATTCATTATAACAAAAGAAAATGAAATGAAATAAAAAATGAAAACCTGACAATTCGCTTGAATGTTTGAATTCCCACAAAACAAATCACAATCATATATTATAGACTGAATATAGAAACTTATGGTCTTTTTATACTATAGTTGTTAAGATAATTGTTAAACTGATCATAAAGAATATGTTGTTAAACGTCATCAATTATTTTAGACACTTAACCTTCCTTAGATCTTGTTTACTTGTTAAGGTTCCAGAAATCAATATTTCCAACATATTTTTTTGCTGTGATAAACAAGTTTGGAGTAGTACTTTAATTGATCTTTGTTTCTATTCATACATTTATCACAATCATTTAAAAAAATGCTTCGTATGCAGTTCGTCGCTGGATATACATAATGTTTATGGCGTCATTCTTTTTGCTTATTGTATATGTTTAAATGCTTTTCAGAAATGTCCTTTTATATTGCTAATGTCGATATTTTTTCAGCAATGAACACAGTATTATTTTTTATATAATTCAAGAAAGACCGTGTCGTTTTTGTATTTCCGTTAAATGGTATTTATTTTGCTTATCTTTTCTTTTTACAAAAAAGTTTAATAAAAATAAAAATTTATGATAACCTTTACCAAAATCATCGCTTTCATGTTTTCAGTAATCAATGTTTTTATTTGCATATCAAAGTTTATTTATTAAAGGAAAAATGTTATACCTTTGACTAACTTGCGACTTCAAATCAATTTTACACCTTCCTTTGGTTCTTCATTTTTATTTTCTATGTCAAATAATAAATATCCAGAAAAGTACTAATGCATAGTCTATTGACATGTGACGCATTCTTTCGAAGCACGAGCCAGACCAGGTCCCTGGTGGTAGGTTCAATTTGCGGTGTTCGACGACGTCTCCAAGAACGGAATACTCTCTGCCCATATTGTCTCTATTATTGTCCTGTTGTTAATCAACATCGGAGCAGTCTACAAATGAAATGATAATATTGTAGAAGTTTGATAATTGATAATTTTACTTATTTTGGTACACATGTTATTTTGAAAAATCGGTGAAAAATCAAGATCTTAAGGTTAAAATCAATTTTACAAATTGTTTATGAAGTAAATGTAGATATTAAAACTATATTAGCCCTTTTGATTTTATGATTGTACCAATGATTTTGTATTGCTCAAATGTGTGGGGAATCTATGATTTTCAGGACGTAAATAAACTTCTTATCATATTTTGTAACAATGTTACACACGTATTCTTTCACTTGTCATGGAATGACACTACTGTGTCACATTGAAGGTTTCGTGATGACCGCCATAAGAATACATCTGCGGATGTTTCTAAATCAAAATTTCACCATTTTTGTGTTTAAAAGTTGAATTCTGCGTAAGCCGGTGCTAGGGAGCGTGGAAAGTAACTTGCAACTTCCAGTACCGTCCATAAACAGGCTCAATCCAACTCAGCCTGCATTATTTTCAATTTTGCCGTGTGTCTTTAGGGATTCTTTTATCTCTATTTTAGGTGTTAAACAACAGACTCCAAATGCTACGGTTTTTGGCGAGTTATGTAGACACCTCTCTCTGATATTGTTATTAGTAGTAGTTACTGTAGTTCTATTCTTCTACATTTTATAAAAAAATTCCACAAAACCTTTATCACGGTTATGTAAACCTTTAAAGGAATTAAAGTTAATTGGGCTATAATTAAAGGTATGTAATACATATACTGCATTCATATGTTGAAAACATTTAGAATCAGTCAACAAACCACCAACGCATTATATTTGGAAGTTGTTGGCAAGGTAAATGATCCGAATTATAAATATTATAAAATGTTTTATTACAAAATATTATTATGCATCATGCATCATATCATATAAATGTTGATTCTAAATCACTTATAACTTCATCAACAATCTTTAAGAATATTATTATGCATCATGCATCATATCATATAAATGTTGATTCTAAATCACTTATAACTTCATCAACAATCTTTTGACAAGAATATCCAAATCATTTCTATTATTTTTTATCAAAATTTGAAAAAGAGTAATAAAAATTGTTTGCCTATCCACTAAAAAAATAATGTTTATTAATTTTATTGCGTCATCTTTTCAATATTATTTTGGATCAAATCTTGTTATGAAAATAATTTATTTTCCGAAGTATTATCTTACTAGCCTTTTAAAGTACTGTACACAATTTGATATAGGGGTCGAAATGCCTTACCCACTGGGGATCGAAAAGTTATGTAAGCAGTGGTGGAAGAGTCAATGGGCCTAGAGGTAATCCTAATATCGAGAAGTCTAAGTGTCTTACTTGCTGCATGCTTAACTAAGACAATTATTATAATTATAAATACACTTTATTCAGAAATAAGACATGGTATGTCCATTATCTTACATAGTGTAATATATTTATACACAAAAGATTGAAATATCTTAATTTCATAATGAAATATCATCAAAATGGCAGTTAAACAGTTATATTTTAAGATACAGATATGTAACAATCTTGATAAAATAAGGGAGGTAAATCTCCGGCTCATATTCACAACGGTTATATTTGCTGCTGTGTTATTCTTCTGATTTACAGTCTCTTGTAAATGTTTCCGACAATTATATTTTATCTAATATCATTATTCGTTACATTTTCAATAACAAAATGATATTCATCGTCTATTTTAGTACATGTTATACATAACAATCACTTTTATTTTAGTTATTTTGGACCAGCTTCAGTGTTTAACCTGTTGGATAAAACCCTAAAGCGATTAAATGATGGACACACTTTATGATTACTGAAGCATTTTAAATATAGTTGAAATCTAAATGATGAAATATTGTTGTAGAATAAAGTTCATCTTGAATCTGTAAGCCTTGAATGAGTTGATCGTTGAGAGAAACATTTCGGTATCCCCATCTTCTTGAAAGACCCACGCATCAACAAATCAAACCGAACATTGTAAATTGTCTAATTGAAATATCAAAATATTCTTGATATTGGGATATTATATTTCATCCGTATTTTTGTTTTATAAATTATAAATAATATAAAGATTATGTTTTGTTTTGCTTGCACAATTCATAGCTATTTTATTTGATTACCTTAAACATTTTATACAGATGTTTATAAAG